TGATCAATGTTTTAGAAGAGTATCCGCATTCTTTTTTTCAAATACATCTTAAAAATCTTGATATTGGCTTGGAATGCCACTTAAAGTCTTTCCACTAGTAGAAATAGGTGTGGCATAAATGATACAAGGTGATCCTTCTTTTGTAGCATGCAAGAAAGCACTTGCACCTACAAATATAGGTTTAATTATACTAGACTTATGACTTTCAACTTGATTAACTATGCTCTTATTTATACTTTCAAAAAAGTCAAGACTATGAGAAGTCCAATCTATTTTAGGATTATATTTTTTTAACCATGATAAACTTAAAATGACTAGATTAGAAAGAGATCTAATAATATTAAATATTATAAAGCTACTATGACTATTAGTTGGTAGTTCTATAGGGAGGATTTTATGAATAATATCTCTTGAAGACAACAGATGACTATCGATGACTTCTACATGAACATATTTAGTTTTCTTTACTAAAAATATACTATGTCTTTTAGCAAATTTTTTATCTAAGAAACATGCTGAGGCTCTTGAATCTAGCAAAGCAGAGGCTTCGAGATGTTTAGGTCCTAGAATAACATTTATCGTAAAACATAGAGAGGGTTCTCAGGAGAGGATAGGACCTTCACTAGGTGTTGTACAAGGTTCCAGCTGCACAGTCCCTATTATAACTGGATAAATTTTTTTTCTGACATGTTATTTTTTTTGATCGCCATACTCCTCATTTTATGGTTGTGTCACTTCTTTGGACAATGTTGAGCATTGTACTTAGGTTTTCCACAATATAAGCACAATCCTTCTTGACGACGACAAGTCTTTTCTTGCCTATTAAGAGGTTTGAAATGTGCTGCATCAATTTGCATATCCTCTACTTCCGAATGTATGTGTTGAAGAAGTGTTGGTATTGCCATTGAATTATAGTAACGTTGATGTCCACTTATACCGTTCTCAGATTAAAATTCAAAAAGGCGATTGTCGCACTTCACAACAAAGTCAATTTCTTGACTCAATGTTTGAAGATCAGGTAAGTTGAGCATTAATTTTTTTACCTAATATTATAATCCGTAGAGAAATTGGCTAATAAGTGTAGCATCATCCTACTTGACATCAGTTGCAAGTTGTCAAAATTGTGAAGCATATAACGTTATTGATCGATTACCTTGTTACAAAGTACGGATCTTATTGGTTGCAATACAAATTGCATCATGTTCTCCATACATGGATCGAAACTCTGCCAGAAAAGCCTCTAGATTATCCAATATTAGATCTCGTCATTCAAGAAAAGATGAAAACCACGATAGTGCTGAATCTGAAAGAAGCGTACTAATGAATCTAACTTGTGATCTTGGAATTGAATAACTTTGGTGTTGAAGTTCAATCACAAGTTGCACTTGATTGATAAATCCTCGAAACTTAGATCTGGTGCCATCAAACTTCTCGGGTAGGATAATTCTTGGTTCTCTAACATTGGAAGGACATTCCACCATGGAAGAAGGGACATGATTTGGTGCTGATGTTGAAGCAACTCCAATCATTTTTATATCTTCACTTCCTACCAATCTTCTTGCTCCTTGTGTGGTAAATTGACTTGATGCATTGCAAACATTATCTCCCTCAATTGCTCTTGCATTTGTGCCATTGCACTCTTCATTTCAACAAGTTCTACCATGATAACACTTAAAAAAGAGAAGATGTCTAATATCGCTCAAGACAAATAGAAGAGAGGACTTGAGAACAAAGAAAATACTAAAGACAATATCAGTTTAGAAGAAGGTAATCCGCAACTTGTAATATGCTTGTGTCTTATGAAGAGAAAGGGATAATCCACTCTTAATCAAGCTTAGAAAAAGCTCTAATATTATAAATACACTCTTGTCAATGTGTCAAGGACAAGAACATGATAAAAATAAATAAACAAGTGAGACTTCTCTCAAAGAAAGATGACAAAATAGAAATAACTTGATATGTATATTAAAAAAGAAACTGGAATGATTATTGTCAAAAACCAAGAAAACTAGAGACCTTTGAAACTAGACTAGAAGCAAGAAAGGAGTTGAAAAGAGTGAAAAAGGCTTCACTCTTGTCTCTATATATACTATCTAATTAGAGGCTACGTGGCGACGTTCTATAGGACCTTCAATATGTGTTGACTTTGTAGGACACATGCCTTGACTTACAAGGCAAGTTTTTTTTACATATGGGCCACATAATTAGCTTGGTCTTCAAGCTAATAACATGTGTAGCACATGGCCAACTTGTTGACCACGTTTCTAATCCAAAAAGTCAATTAAAGACACCTATAAAGTCAAAGCAACATCTATAAAGCTTCTAATAAGCTTCCATAATAAATACTATAGAATTAACTTACTTTTATCTAATTTTACTTACTTCTACTTATTTATACATGTAATTACTGGCTTACATGCATGTGTATTCTGTAGGTTGAACTTTGCTTGGAGGGCCATAATACATTGATATGCAATGGCAACTTTTATACAGCTATATAATGCATGTTTGTACGTTTCCATCATTGTTGAAATACATAGTTTGCACTTTGCATCCTATGAGGCTTTTACCTTCTATTTTCCAAATAACCGCCTTACTAGATAAAGCCAATGCATGATTGTGAACTTTTAAGAGAGCCAAGACAGCAAATATCTTTGAATTAATAATTTTTTATTTTATTTTGGTGAGTATCTTTGACTTCCTAACTTTTGGAGACCTCATATTATATGGATTGTTTTCCTCAAGCTAAGTTTATAATCACATTTTATTGTATATTGAAAGAAATTACATCCTTCCAAGTAGTCTTGTCGTTTCTAATGTTAATCTCAAGGATTTCATGTAAGTATGCTGATGGAGGTTGTTTTATATAACCATAGCATGTTGTCTTTCTAATATGTATTTGAATTGTAGAAGAGAATTCTTCCTTTAGCCCTAGTCTTATGGATTATTTGAACATGATAGGAAGTACACATTAGAAGCACTTGTAGGTTCGTCTCTATTAGTTTAATTTCTTCTAAATAGAGTACTTAGAAGATTCTACAAAGTTAAGTGGAATCTATTTGCTATTGGTAGTAAGTTATGGCTATATTAGATGTTATTAGAGTAATCCATTCACTGATTTAAAGAAGGATTGTACGGAGCTATTTCTAGGTGATAGCTTGAATCAGTGCCGACCTTTATGTTTTGGTTGTTTGCAATCTAGTGGTTGTCTTGATGAAAGAAATTGTATGCCATTGACCACATAGTTGATAAATGAAAAATGCCTCTTTTTGCCTAAGTAGAATATGTAAATGTTGATTTGATACTAAACATAATATCTAAAGTTTGTCAAATTAATGAATTACCAAACAAGGATTGTTACAAGATCTCCAAAGTAAGACTTAGAACAACTTATTTCAATCTTTTTTTTATAGATAGTCATACCTATAAGGTTACTTCTTGAGACTGTGATTTGAATAAGAATGTAGATCATTTGAGTTTTGTCAATATGAGCCTTCTAAATGAAGTTTTTGATGAATCCACCTATTGTTTTAAATGTTGAGTTCATAGTTACCAAACATAAATATAAGAACTAGATTATGGCTAAGAATGTTTAATTTGCCATCATGATTTGCTCTACCAACAAAAGATTTATACACTCCATGTTGTGAGACTAGTAGTGAGGCTCTAAATAACTTTATTTATGATGGTTTCTTCAAGTGTCATGTAGCCGATTAAAAAATATGGATATTATATAGTATTTCTTATAGATAGATAAATCATGTTGGGAGTTCTTTGTCCATTGCCATAGACATGGTTGGTGGCATTCCTAGATTTCATATGACTTGTGACAATTGATCTTAGCTCCATTGCTTTTATAGAACAATGTGAAAATACTCATAGTTGTATTCATATTAATTTCTAATCCATTAAGGTATAAGGTAGAATCATCGGCAGATATCTGATTTATCGAAAAGATAAAATTAATTAGTGATCTAATGGAATTGGTAAGCATGTATCGAAGTATATTACTTGCTAGAAGGTAGAAATACAATACCAACAGATACCCTTGTTTCATTGATCATTGGAGAAAGAAGTGCTCCCCTAATACCTTATTTAACACAACCTTAGTAACTACCTCATAAACTAGTTATCCTAACCATTTATACTATTACAAATATGGAATCTCAACCTTCTCAAATTTGTGGAGCTTCAAATTCTACACACATCATAGCCCCTTCTTCTTCATCCCTAAGAAGCATTCAACTTCCACAAAGAATCATAAAAATAAGTTCAAATATTTTATTCAGTATAGGACATATTCAGCATCAAAAATTTTAAAAATTCAAAATATTTTAAATGTTCTAGATACTTAAATTATGAGATCAAAAATTTAAATATTTTTAGTATCTAAAGATATTATATTTTTTTGATAATAATAAACTTTAAAATACTAAAAAATTAAAACTTTGTGAGTTTATATAAATAAAAATAAAAATCACATTCCATGTTGATTTGTAAATGCATTTAGTAAAGTCGAATAAACTACCAATCTACATCTTAATAACAAGAATTTAACCAGTGAGCCATTCATTCAAGACTCAAATTAATTTAACAAAAATAGTTTTAAACATAAATATAATTAACATTAAATAAATGAACTCTAAACTACACTAAACAAAAGCTCTTCACCAACGCACGGCATTTGTTCACCTAGGTGTATCCATGGTACTGATGATAGCTTCTCAAGTCTAGGAATGCACCGACATACAGAAATAAATAGGGGGACAACGAAAAAAAATCTAACCTAGCTTTGCATGTTCTTTCAGTTTCAAAACCCTCAACTTTTATCTTCGTCAACGGAAATAAAACCAAGTATGATATCATCAAGAGCCGAAGATTCTTTAGGAAGAACTATCTCACCCCATTGATGCTGAATGCTTACAGCGTAGTCTCAGGTCCCACAGAGAAATTTGACTTGGATTTTACACACAAATTCTAGAAATTTGTAATGTCTCGAATGGTCTCAAACAGGCACACTGGCTGCCACATTGTTGCAAACCAGGCGACCCCACTAACTTGCTGGCCATGGGCACATATTTCAGCGGCATAACTTAAAACAGAGATGGACGGAATGCATGGTGGATTGCAAGCAGACCATCTGCAAAGATAGCCTGTTTGAACAACTCTGAAACTAACATACACACACACAATACTACTACTAATTATTATTATTATTATTATCTCCCAATCTCATAATGAGAATCATGTCAAGAATATGAAGAGTTCAATTCTACCTATGGAATGTTTTCAGATTGGAAGTCATAACAGAAGAAGAAACTCTGAATGGCAATACAAATACATTGTACGTCTACCACTCTCAAATAACTACTGGGCTTCCTTTGGAGCCTTGAATCTTGACTTGATAGGAATTAGAGTCGCTGGCAACATTGTAGAGACGGAATAAGCAAAACAAACAACGAGAACAGCTAAGAATCCAACCCACCACGCCTGCTTCGGTATACCCATGATGACTTCCTCGCACACTGTACGTCGAAACAAGAGCTGTCATTACCTCTCTCCAAATCTCTGAAAAAAATATTTGAAGTAAAATAGACACAACTGCAAATAGTTGCAGGGAACAGAATGATATCATAGAAGTGAACGCAGTAGTCACTGCTTTACAAGAGATAGGCAGGAAGGTAAAAGAATCAACACAGAACCAAGAGTAGAGATCAGCAATTAGCTCTTCATACCCTGTTAATCAAAGGCTTGAAACTAGGACACGCCAGTGGGAAGTATTAATAACCGCGACGCATTATCATGACTCCATTCATTGATTCTTGCTATCACTATACTTAGAGCATGAGTAAAACTGATTAGGGCTATACTTATGACAGTTAATAATTGAAAAGCCTGGTTACAAGGACACTGATCAGCACTGTGGCAAAATCTCATGACCAATTCGATCAAAACATGACGATCACAGAACTGCCTAAACAGACTGGTTGAGGACTTACTTATGTTGTAGAGGATGAACGGTTGATTAGATGTATGCTGCTTGGATAAGACGGCAGCGGGATGTACAACCACTATCACTCTTTTCCAATACTCGGCTGTTGCTGCCTATTGATCAAGCACGTCAGTCATAAACTCAATTAGAATGGACGCGCATTGATACGAAAATATCACTGCAGAAGCCACAGGTGGGTGCAAGGAGAAAGGGAAAGATGCAAACATCAAATCGGTCACACATCCTAAATAGGCAAATAAAGAGTGGTTCACAGCAGAGCATTCCACCTGCTGAGGAAAATCCTTGGTAACATAGAACATCATCTTCTCAGTATTGAGCAGTCTCCGCCCTGATCTGGGCATGTCCGGTGAGCTCTTGTGAACCAGCGATATTTCAAAGCTTGCAGGAATCTGTAACAAAGATCATAACGCAACCATCAGGGGTAATTGGGCGCTGCATGTATATAAGTCCTTCCGTTGCGCATCATTCACATTACTATGAAAAAGAAAAAAAATTACGAATGATCACTAGGAAGGTTCCAGATAACAACAATGAGACTTTTTTACTGCTATTGTTGCATATCAGTGATACTGTGAAAATGCAGCAGACGGGAAATATTATTAAGACTGCAACGTATCTGATCATAAAATACACCTAGTAAGCGGAGAGAAGGAACATACAGAGGCAGGGTAAGATATCTTGATTTCGTACCACTTGCGATCTTGCAAGCCCCGAACTTCATATTCACGGCTGCTCCCATCATAAAACGAAAGGCTCTCTCCTTTTTTCTCCTCTCCCACTCTTAAAACTGGCACATCTGAACTGTGGCCAATACCATACAATAAAAATTGGCCTCCTCACTCTTCTCAATCACAAGTTCATGCGCATCCATCTAAACCCTAAACCTTGAAATTTGAGCATCTGATACAAATGAAGCACAATATCTCAACTCCAGCATAGGAGCCATTTCATTATAAGGAACAAAAATTCAACTCGAGATTAAAAACACATAGCAGTACTAATCCAACGTCTCAGATAAAAACCAAGATGTGCTGCACCCTCGACATCAATCGACGAAAAACAAAAAAACAAAAAAAAAAAAAAAAAAAAAAAAAATCTGCGAGGCACTCGCAAAACTGACGTAAATCACCCACAAATCTCCCTCTAATCACTGAATAAAAGGATTACCTGCCAAGTCCATGTGCACCGCAACCAAGGCACGACACGCAAACCAGTAGCAGCCAGATTGAACACAGGAGGAGACCCCGCCTGCGAAGTCCACATGTTCCAAGCATTGTTCCCTTCACGTACACCATCATCCCCAGTTTCTCAAAAAACATGAAAAAAACAACTAAAACTAGGCGGAAAAACACAGGCCTCGGTAGCGATAAATGGCCGTCTTCTAACCCAGCTCTGCAAATGTGCACCGAGTGTGCGTTGGATCGTTGCAAAATGAGAATGAAGAATCACACCAGCCTCTGCAGTCAGGAGTGATGCCGCCGATTACCGCAAAATGCCGCTGAGTTGACGCAGATTGACGGCGCGGCGTATATATACGTGATCGTATATATTAATGTGTATAGTAACGCGCCAGTGCGTATACTGTAGGACTGTTCGTAGAGTGCAGGTGCTCTTCAAACATTGGGATCGTCCTTTAAGGCACAGTTTCGTATTTGTCTTTTTTTTCTTTAATGTATTCGTGTAAGTATGAAAGGCGAATAAAGTATTTTGAAGTGTAGTAAAGTACCTGTATTAGTATAATATGCTCCTGACTCTAGGAACATGGTTTTCGTATTTTCTCTGTCACGCCAATGTTTCAAATGTATCATGTATATTGTGACTTGTACATTCAAACACCCTAAAAATAAATAAATAAATAAATAAAGTATTCACCTGCACTTTACATTAGCAATAGATTAATTGATATTTTCTTTTATATTAACATAAAACATCATAAGAGGATTTGCCAATGGGTCTGGAAGCACTTAAAGCAGTGGATTGATTGTATTGTACTGAATGGTTTTTAAATGGTTTTTCTTCTTCTGTTAATTGTTTTATAAAGGGCCTCAAATTGCACCATTGTTTGTGTGTGTGTGTTTATATATGTGTAACAGTATGTATCACGTGGATATTAACCTATGTATTTTTTGTATGTATGCATGTATTTATTTTTGTTAAAATAAAATTTCAAATTATTATTCAATATATTTTGTTACATTATCCTTTCAAACTCTTAGTTACATTTCATTTATATTCTGAATAAATTTATACATGAGTTAGAGCACTTTGTGACCATTTTTAAGACATAGTTTAGAATGAAATGTATTTTTGAATTCAATTTTGTCTCATTATTGGAACACTATTGGAACATTCTTACAAACATTTCAATGTATATATGTATTTAAGTATATCCATACATCCATACATACAGATTCTATTCATATTTATTTTAAATAGAGCATCAGGACTTCTAGTCACTTTTCTGCACATTGGATAAAGAAAAATTTCCATACAACAAAGTGAAGATTGATCAAAAATTTATTTACTTATTTAAAAAAATATTTTAATATTCTTGTTTACTTACTCAGTTGTAGATTAACTGCAATTGAGAATTTTTTTTCTTTCTTTATCCTTTAAATAATATCATTTTTTAATAAAATAAAATAAAAAGTCCAATATGAGCAATGAAAAAATTGAGCAACAAGGTGGAAGCCATGTTCATGAGATGTCATTTCCACACACACACAAACAAAATGGAAATAAAATAATAAATAATTTTAAAAAATGAGGTCCATTACCTACATGCAAATGCCTTGAAAACACTGATACATACATACATTTGTGTCACAGTAGCAACAAAAACTCATTTTTTTTATTCTTTTTATTTTGACTTTTGGATTACTTCTTTGTTTCAATAGCCTTCTTTCCCAGTACTGATGGAATCACCCTTTGTCTACTAAAAGCAACCACCCACAATCAAAATTTCACAACATGAGAGGCCACATGTGTATATACATATATAGGTATAAATGTATATACATATGTACATACACACTCTCACACTCCCAGAGACTGTGTCTACTGAAACAGAGGAATTCCAAGGTTGACTCAATTGTAGACCACATCCACTCAACCCCACACATGTAAAAAGGGGAATTGGGTGACATAGCTATAGGGACAACAACAACTGTGATAGTGTTAATTAATCAAAGAAAGAAACCCATGTATGATATGGTCACACACCCTTTGCCTCCTCCACATCTAACTTACTCTTCCAGACCCTGGAGGGAAAAAAAATTAAATTAAAAAGCAAAAAGCAAAAGCTTCCACAAGTGACAAATACCAACAACACACAGACAGACCAGGGCTGAAAACAACATTACCCAGCCAGCCAGCCAGCCAACAAGGTCAACGATTCCATAGTGGAATCAGGGCAGTCAGGGAGGCGAGTCAGGCAGATAGATAGAGAGATGGGACATGCAAATTGCAGTAGCATTCGTCGCTCCACACATGGATGGATGTGTTGATGTATGTGTTATTTCCTTCTTTCTTCCATCCATCCATCCATCTATATGAGTGTAAGTGCATGTTTGTGTGAATACATATATTTCTCTCTTGTTGCTGAGTCCAGCAGCAAATATATATGATAGCCAGCTTTTTGCAGACAGGCCATGGTGTTGACCCACAGTGTCCCCTACCTTTACAGCATTATCTTCTGTTGTCCACAAAAAATCATTTTGCATGAACCACAATGGAAACCCAACATCATGGTTTGTTTAAGAGTCTGTAGCACATGTACAACATATCATATATATATATATATATATATATTCTTTATTGAGCAGATTGGGGTCCCTTGTGTACAAGTCATGGAGTATTTTTCAACTTGAGTGTGTTAATCAACTCATACCCACTGTGAACACAATCTAAAACATCATCTTATCAAGGAACCCAAGGCATGTCTGTAATAAAAACAAACAAAGGGCCTGTGTGGGGGGGGGGGGGGGGTGGGATCTACAAAGACATGTGAGTACAAAAAGATGTTAAATGGGCAATGAGAGAGACATTACCACAATGATCCATCAATACATGCTTGTTTCATGTGGGAGAAATAACAATCTAGGCTTCACATGATGTGCTGTCAGGGGACAACACACTGCTTCTCTCTCATTCTCATTCTTCATGGTGAAAAAAAAAAAAAAAAAATCATGCTTAAATATATAAATATACTTAAACAAACCCCCACAAAACTGGGGTTTGGCATTCATTAGATCCCAGCCTACAATTCCCACAAATACACCAAAACTCTCCCTTCCCTAGATCTGCAGCTTTTCTTTGTACTTTGAAGCTGTACTTACTTGCGGCTCATCCTTACCTTCCCTTCCCTTCCGTTCCTTTCTTCCTTCCTTCCTTTGCAGTTGTTGCTTGAGGGCTGGGGACTGTGGTGGGCTCAAAACCCTAGAAGAAGCTTCTAGAACCCAAGTACCCCACCAACTCCAAATGGAGACAAACTTGCACACAAATACAAACACGGCCAGCCAGAGAGAGTGAGAGACTACCTCAACCAAAGTCTTGTTTTTCTGTCTGTCTGTGGTAGCAAGAGAGGCTCAGACTGCAGCAATTGGTGATTAGAGAACCACTATCTGCTGGAGCAAATCTTTGCTGTGTTTGGTGCTGTTCCAACCCTGACAACAATGACAAATTTTGTGTTTGTTTTTTCAATCCAATGTTTTAAATAGATTTGTTATTTTATGTTTTTTTGAAACTTTAGAAGGTCAACCACTTTTCAATTGTTTACAATTTGTGGTTTTTCATGTAAGTAGACATTTTTTAAAGGTTATGGGAGGAAACCAGTGATACAAACCTTTTGAGGATAGAAATGTTTTCACCACATCATGGTTATTACTTTTTCTTTTTTTTTTTTTTTTTTTTTTTTTTTTGAGAGTCCTTGATATATTGGATGGAAGGGACATTATAATTAAAATACAAAAAATCATATATAACTAAATAGAAAAAATCAAGTGTTTAGGATTTATTCAAGTATTCTTGTAGGAAGAACCATTGACATTTTTTGTTCATCCAATATTAAGTACTAGCTAGATACCTATCTCACTACAACTTCCTTCAATATCAAGTGCAAAGAAAATATTGTTTTCAAAAGAATGGGCCCTAATGTGTCTCATACCAACTCAACATATGTTCAAAGATTTGTTTGAAGTTTAGGATTGTCCAATAATTTTTTTTTTGCTAATCTAATATAGAAATACCTTAAAATGTGACACACCCCTGAACCAACAACTAGTACTCGGAAAAAACTGCATGGCTGGGCTCCATAATTGGGGAATGTTATGCTGTTGCACAAAAATCACAGAAGGAAGGGTGCAGCATTGGATTAGGCACATGGCATGTTGAGAGGGTGGTATTTGTGAATATGATCTCAAGTGGTTGGCAGTTGCATCTCCCATGGTTTCATTGGTTTTCTTTTTTTTACACATTCCCATATAAATTCCTTATGGCCTTTGGCACAATTACAATTCACTCCAAATTATAAATGTAATATTAAGGAGGAGGGAGTATGGCTAATTAACTTGGTAATGGATTTTAAAAAATAAATAAATAAATAAAATCTATGGCTCACAAGGAAGCCAGGAGCAATTTTAAGGTAGCAGCCACACTGTTTTAAGCTTCAATGCACACAATTTGAATTTTGCAAGAAGTGTGCAGGCACTCATGTGATTTTGTAAATGTTATTGTCTGTTGCTTGTTAATGTGCCCATGCAAGTCATTGTGAATATGCTGAGGTATGAAAAAGAAATTAACTATGGCACAGAGATAGAATTTTTGTGAAGATTTGGTGACAGAAATCTATAGCCAAAGGTGCAACGTTCAAGTCTACAACCTAATCAACTGATTGAGGTAGATTATGTGTAGCCAAGTTTTACCAATGTAGATTGCTCACATTGTCATGAACTCATGACAATTCATATAAGTGCATTAAATCTAATTAAAGCATGAAAGTAGAATTTTTATGCTTGCAAGGTTTCATCAAAATCTCAGAATGTGAAAGATGGCCTTGATTAGGTAGATTGTGTGTAGGATTTAGTATGGAGTGTATCATAGTTTTTGCTAGCCACAAAAGACTCTTTGACATTGGAGCTAGTGAAGAAGAGGACAACTATGGTATGGTGATAAATTATCCAAGAATAGCTTTGACAATGGTCAATATCAATTGCATGCTCAAATGAACTATACTAAATTTGAGATGGAGTAGGGTATAAATTGGCCACCATATGCTAGAAGATAAATATTTAACAATGTAGATTCTACTCTAAAGCAAATCATTCGTCCTTGCTACATGCACATACTTTACAACAACAAATCTAGCAATCAATAGCTCAAGTAAGTAGCCATATGAAAAACTCCATAACTAATTATAAAAGAATAGTATGGACTTTTTGCAACTT